GCTTAGTCTCTGCTACCCCTGACCTCAAGGAAGTTGCAGTCCACCTGAGAAGACACAAAGTAAACTTTACAGAAATAATCATAGAGTATGAATATGTTGGTACTGGAAGATTAAAGTTCACGGTAAATAGAAGCCTCCAGAAGCACCTAATCAAACTTGATTTCTCAGATGGGAAAACAAATACCAGTGGTGAAAGTTCAGTCAGAGGCACAAGACTCAACACTCTGGCTGTCTCTTTCTAATACAGCACCCCCTGTTCAGTGCAGTTTCCGGTGGAAATGAACTCATACTTCATCTAAAAGTGTTAGCCAGCCCTCCAGATTTGTTGTTATAACATCTGCAGAGCCAACCAATGGTGGATCAAGCATACTCCAGAAAAAAGAAAAAAAAATTGCATCTGTACTGAACCAGTTCAGATGTTTCCTTGTCATTATTCCCTAAATAATAAGTATGACAGCTACTTACATAATCACCTGAATCTCTCACCTGGCCTCAGAGTAGCCTCTCAGTTAAAATGTGTTTAAAGCCAGACTCATCGCCTCGTTTCCATCCTGTCTTCAATAAATGAAAGCCTTACTGTTTCTGTTAATTATGGTAAGGTCTTAGTTGTAGTGTGGTTTTACAAATGAATACAGTGCTAGAAATCATATTTCCATTCTGCCACGGTGGAGATGATGATGGATTCTGAGTCAGCAATCAGTTGAAATTGGTGTCACCTTAGTGATACCAATGACAGCCTCATGCAGAGTCAACCCTCATGCATTTTCCCCTTACATTCTCAATCTTTCTAGTTTTGTCTAAAGTGTAGTGTGGAAGGTGGATGACAGGAAAAGTGGGATTAAATATTTGCCTAATGTTAATGCTCTCATGCTAAAGAGTGTCCAGGATTGTTTCTCCTCATTGTTCTAAAGCAGTCTTTTTTTTATTGAGTAATAGATTTTTGTAAAGGACTGTGCAGTGACTTAGGGAAACTCAGCCATGTTCTTAAGCTGTAAACCAAAGCCAGCCCGGATCTAGGGAGGAGTCTATGTCAACTTAGTCCCCACCTGCCAGAAGATTACTGTAAAAGATAGTGACACACAGGGAGCCAATCCTAGGCTCAGTCATACACAGGTGTTGGTCAGTGCCAACTGCCAGAACCCTCAAGCCCATTTTCCTGGCCAATTCCTTGACCTTAGCCCCTGTCAGCTTTGTACCTCTGAACAGTAGCATGGGTTTACATACTCAAACTGAGAAACAGCCTGACATTCTCCAGTTTGACCTGAGCTGCAGGATCTGTCTTTGGCCTTATCCTCTCACTTTCTTGTAACTGCACACCTCTCCTAATGAACTATTCTGCCCATCCCATACATTTACTCCCAGTCTTACATGCCCTGTCGCTCAAGGCCCTCATACTATCCAGAGTTGGACTTGATACCAAAAGGGCCAAAGGAAATCCATGTTAGAAAGAAAGGGTTGTTAGGATGTTCTTTTCATCTCATTTATAGAACTTGAAAGTACTCGTCTGTTTATTAGTATCTACTGTGTTGCAGGCAGTGTACATCGTACGATTCCCCCCAGATTTATCTATTGTAAATGGGACAAAATTAGGATTCAAACACCTGTCTTTCTGATATCAAAGGTTGTGTATTTTCTCATATACTGTGCAATAAATTAGGCAGCATGCTATTATAAACATTGTAATTCAGTTTTTATCTATTTTCTTTAGTAAATAAATATTTCTTGAGTTCATTGTGCTTAGGGCTAGATTTACAAAAATAATTCCAGATTCTTTCCATAGTTTAAAGAACAGATGTGATTAGAGCCAGCGCTATGGCATAGCAGGTTAAGCCTCTGCCTGCAGTGCCGGCATCCCATGTGGGCGCCTGTTTTAGTCCTGGCTGCTCCACTTCCGATCTAGCTCCCCTGTGATGTACCTGGGAAGGCAGCAGAAGATGTCCTAAGTGCTTGGGCCCCTGCACGCATGTGGGAGACCCAGATGAAGCTCCTGACCCTTGGCTTCAGCCTGACCCAGACTTGGCTGTTGTAGCCATTTGAGGAGTGAACCAGCAGATCAAAGAGTTTCTCTCTGTCTTTACCTCTCTCACTATAACTCTGACTTTAATAAAAAAAAAAAAAAAGTGAAAACAAAGACCTAGAAAAAGATAATAGTAGAGGGTACATCAAGAGCAGCGGAAGCATAGGAAAAGAAGTATCTGTATCCATCTGGAAGAAGCATGGAATCGTCACAGTATAAATAGCATTTGTGCTAGAGTTGAAAGATGAATAGGAATGCCCCAGATGGATGAGGGAGGTAGAATGAACAGTATTTGTAAAATATTTTAAGAGCAAGAGTAAACTCAAGAAAAGCCCAGTAATTTTGTATTGCTGTAAGAGTACAGACCTGAAGGTGACAGTACAGAGCAAGGACTAGATGGGTCACAGGATGTGGACTGTCATCTCAGAATGACTGGTTTTTGCCCTCTGCACAGTGTCGACATTGAAGAAAATTAAGCGGAAGAATGGCATAGTGAGTTTTCCTGTTTTAAAAACTCATTTGGTAATAAGAATATAAAGTACAGATTGATTGATAGTTAGATGAGATGCAAATAAAGAAATGATTATGCTGTTCCAGGTGAGAGATTGGGAGGGACTACACTAAAGCAGTGGGGTAGAGGGATCACAGCTTTGATTGAGCAAAGATGTGTAGCAGCATTTGGTTCACTGCATTTGGGTAGCCACAGAACCCTTTACCCTCTCAAGTTCTTGATCTCCCCCACCTGCCTCTTCTCTAAATTAAAACAAGATAAATTATAGTTTTCAGTTCATGATAGGGCTTTTCATTTACTTCAAGTAAGCACTTACTTTGCATTTTTTTTTTTTTACATTTTCACATCTGGATCATACAATGAAAAATCATGGAGAACTCTCATAAATTTTATGAAATCTTTCAACTTCTTCATGAAAACTTCAAAGTTAAAAACATATGGTTCATACATCCCACTCTTCGAACATGTGAGCTTTTGGTCTGGAATTTGTTTCCAGTCAAGTTGTAATGTGAAAGCACAAGTAGAATTGCCATAATTACTCCACATTACAAGCTCTAACATCATCATGATACTGTGTTAGGTATAATTATTCATTCCTCTTTTCCTTTTAGCTTAGCAGCACTCAGGAGTTGTGACTAAACCTTTTCTTTTTCTCTTTTTTTCTTCTTGTCTCTGAGTAGCATTTTTCATGACCTCCTTGGCCCACATACTTCAAAGAAAAAGAGCATTATTCTGCTCTTCAGGGGGAAAGGAGAACTATAACCTGTTTTTCTCTGGATTTACATACATGTCTTCAAATATGTACACACATTCATATATACACATAAATATAAATATATCTGTTATTCCAAATTCAAGTTTTATGATGCATAACCAGTAAGCTAATACTGCTAAAGATCAGTCTGGCCATTTCACCACGCTAATCATGATATCCAAAAACTCTGATCCATTTCCCTGTAATGTATACAAAAAGATCATAGATTGGTTTGGTCTTTTGGACTATTTTACTTTGTCTTAAAAATAACCATTAGATAACACAGAGTATAAAAATCAAAGCTAAGAAGGAGAACATATCTGCATCAATAGTACTAAGTAATATGGCAAGTCAGCTTTAGTAACATTATATAGCTCTTAAAAATTATTTCTAAAAACTGACTAGTAGGGTTGGTGTTGTAGCACAGCAGGTTAAGCCTCTGCCTGCAACTCTGGCATCCCATATGACTGTCAGTTCAAAAGTCCCAGCTGTTCCACTTCCAGTCCAGCTCCCTGCTGGTACACCAAGAAGGCAGCAGAAGATGTCCAAGTGCTTGGGCCTGTGCTACCTATGTGAAAAGCCTGGGTGGAGTTCCAGGCCCCTGGCTTCAGGCTGGCCCAGCCCCAGCTGGCCATGCAGCCATTTGGGGAGTGAACCAGCAGATGGAAGATACCTCTCTTACTTTCTTTATCTATCTATCTATCTATCTATCTATCTATCTATCTATCTCCATATCTCTCTCCCTCTTTAACTATGCCTTTCAAATAAGCAAGACAAATAAAATTTTTAAATAAATTTAAATTTTAAAAATTACTTGTAGAATATTTACATTTTATAAATCTCTACTCTTAGTGAAATATTAACGTATAATTTTAAGCATTTTTCCCAGTTCATCTAATTTCTTACCTTCATATCTTCATTCTCCAAAGGGAGAGAGTACAATCCTACAACTATATAAAATAGCTGCCTAAGATCATGATATTAACTTATGTGTCTTTAAGTCGGCATTTTCCAGAATCTAATTTAATTGAAATAGCTTTGCCTGTGTAAACTTCGCCTTTGTTTAAATAAGATTTCACTGTTTAGTTTTGCCTTAAGCAAATGCAGCCTTTTGTTTGTCCATAAAACATTAGATTAAATGTATAGGCTAATATGAATAGCTTCTCATCCTGCCACATGCACTGCTGGCAGTTGCCCCTTTGCTAGTGTGTGGTGTATGATTGTCATGAAAACTAGGGCTCTAGCGTTAGCCTGATCTTTGGAGAAAATACATTTTTGGCAAGAAAACCTTCCATCTCCTTACCATTATTGATTTTAAATTTGGAAGAAACATGGGATGTATTCTTTACATGCAGCTGATAATGCTCTTGATACAGTGAGTTGTATAAGTATTTGCTCATAAAGGTACATTGAATTTTTAATCTTAGCTTTCTTATTGGGTACCAATGTGGGCTAACCATCATTGCTGCATGAAAATAGTTTACTATTTGGCCATTTGTAAGAAGTAATATATAATAAATGCTTTGAGAGATTTGGTTTTCCCCTTCAATACAACTTCAGCTCATTTTCTGGTTTCTATTTAGATGAATCGTCATTTAGAGAGGTAATGCTTGGTTTCTGTTTGTTTCTTGTTAAAGCTAACATCAGATTCCCAGTGGAGAGGGCAAGTGCTATGATAGTCTTGTTAGTCTTGTAACGTGGATGCTTTCCCTATGCAGGCAATGCTGGATGTGGCTGCAAACCAGGGCTGGCTGGTGACTGCCCTGAATATCACCAATCTGGTTCAGATGGTGGTCCAGGGTCGGTGGCTAAAAGATTCTTCTCTTCTTACAGTCCCAAACATAGAACAGCACCATCTTCACCTTTTCAGGTAAATTGTCTTAATTTTCAATGTAATTGTTCCCCCCCTTTTTTTTTAACTTTTATTTAATGAATATAAATTTCCAAAGTACAGCTTATGGATTACAATGGCTTCCCCCCCATAACGTCCCTCCCACCCGCAACCCTCCCCTTTCCCACTCCCTCTCCCCTTCCATTCACATCAAGATTCATTTTCGATTCTCTTTATATACAGAAGATCAGTTTAGCATACGTTAAGTAAAGATTTCAACAGTTTGCTCCCACACAGAAACATAAAGTGAAAAATAATAGATGATTTTTTAAATGATGATGAGGAAACTAAAAGTAAGTTTAATTGTTCCATTTTATTCTAATTTCAAAAAAATGTTTTTTTACATGTGTAGTCACTGGAATTTTATGCCATGCCTAGAATATGGATTCTTTACAGTGAAAATGCCTCTGTTCCCTAGAGAGAAACTTGGATTCATAACATAATGTGCTGTTCCTTTACCATTATTGGAATTTGATCATTGATCCCAAGCTGATCCAGTATTCATTTTGACCATCTATCTAAATTCAGTTTACAACATTGGATACATTTCTGTTTTAACTGCATTTATTCCTTTTCAATACCAGCCTTCATTTAAGAATATACTATTAAAATGCTTTGTTATCCAAAGCAAAATAAATTGCCAATTTCTGTCATTGTGGAAGAGATTTGAAAGATCTGAAATCCATTGCCAAAAGTAAATTGTGCATCTTCAAAACACAAAACTGGTTAGTTTTATATATATATATATATATATATATATATATATGTATATGTATATATGGAGTTCAAGATACAAACTTTGCTTAAAAGAAGAGTTTGTATTAGCATCAAATCATTTAACCCTTAGGTCTCTTGTACATGACTGTAAACATTTTAGTGAGGAAAAGAACAGTACATATCATAAGCAGGGCTGGCAATGGTTAACGGAAAATTTTTCACACCAGTGTTTCACATCATTTGAAAGATACTTTGCAGCAAAAATGTTGGTTCACAATCATGTAGACAAGCTAAACAGTATGGCTGTAGTGCCCCTCACACACCATGTACTTCTTGTCAGCTGGACATGGCCATTCTTTGAAGTACCTACATACAAACACCAGGAAGAACCTCAAGCACACCTAGGATCCCCTCAGGAGCAGCCCAGTTTGACTCTAGCATACTGAGTTCCAGGGCAGTTGTCTCTGTGGTGCCTGAGTCCCTACCATAGTGTGTCCCTGGGAACTAAAAGACACATTCAGAGAATAAGGCTTACTTGTAGCAGAAGGTGTGGAGAGAGAGGCAGATATCTCATATGCATCTGAAGCCCAGTTTCAGGAATCCTTCCAATACGCACTCAACATTATAGGTGTTGCATTTCAGCAATAAACAAGGCACATTAAGGTTCTACCTAACACAGCAAGCAGGTCTGCTAGAGAAGCTACTTGGGGCCAAAGAGATTTGGTTTAGTTTTCCTGCCACTTTGAAGAGAGCATTATTAATCTTACTTCAATTATACTTTTTCTTCTTGTTATAAGATTTAGGTGGCCTGTGTTCCTGGGATCTGGCATGGCTTAGGCTATAAATCTCAAAAGATTCCCAAAATGTACTTGTAATTTTATGTTCCCAATAATTTATAATATAAAACTTTATTCAGGTAAATATATTAGAGACATTTGCCTGCATCCATTAAAAACACATCAGGGTCAGATCACTACTTTATCCACGTGGAAGCATTATTTCTATTCATGCCTTCCTGTGGAAAGACACCCACTGTCAATGAACCTTAAGAATTGCTGACCTCATGCATGATTTAGTTGAGCCTTCAGAGCAATGCTGCCTGGGACTGATATCTTAGAGAATGCTGGCTTGTTGTTAAAAATTAACCAAAATGTCTTTGAAAAAGTGATTATCTTAACTTTTTTATCTAATTAAATGAAGCACCATTATCAGAACACGACATTTGTACTGTGAGAGAATTATTTGGTTGACTTTGATATTGTTTCATAGAAAATGGAAAAAGGGACCGCATGCTAGGTGTTGGACCTCCATCGAGTGCCTTCCTGAGCTGATTCATGCCTGTGGAGGGAAAGACCATGTATTCAGCAGCATGGTAGAAAATGAGCTCCATGCTGCAAAAACAAAGCAGGTGAGTGCACCTCTTGCATGGTTTGAAGGCCCCCTCAATATGTCTGGGGTTTGGAGTCTATCTCACCTGGGTTAGAATTCTCTCTGCCTGGAGCCAGGTCATGGCATAGCAGTTTAAGCCACTGCTTCTGATGATAGCATCCCATATGGGCACTACCGCACTTCCAAGCCAATTCTGTGCTAATGGACTGGGAAAAGCAGCAAAAGATGGCCCAAGTGTCTGGGCCCCTGTCACCCAAGTGGGAGACCCAGATGAAGCTCCTAGTTCCGGGCTTTGGCCTGGTCCAGCCCCTGCCATCACAGCCATTGAGGGAGTGAACCAGCAGATTGAAGATCTCTCTCTCTCTATTTCTCTCTCTATAACTCTGATGACTTTCAAATAAGCAAATATTTATAAAATAAAAAATAAATTCTGTGTACTATTTACTAACCATGAAGTTACTGTCTCATGAAGTTCATACGAAACTTAAGCACAATATGAAAAGTGCTTTATACATCTTTTTTTTTTATAACAGCAGTAGTCACCATTTTTTTAAATTTAATTCTTTATTTGAAAGACGGAGTTACAGAGAGGCAGAGGCAGAGAGAGAGACGTCTTCCATCCACTGGTTCGTTCCCCAGATGGCCACAATGGGCAGAGCTGCACCGATCCGAAGCCAGGAGCCAGGAGCTTCCTTCAGGTCTCCCACGTAGGTGCAGGGGCCCAAGGACAGGCCATAGCAGAGAGCTGGATTGGAATTGGAAAGGCCAGGATTTGAACTGGCTCCTCTATGGGATGCTGGCATTACAGGCAGTGGCTTTACCTGCTACACCACAGCACCAGCCCCTTTATACAGTTTTGACATAGAATAAAAACTCTGTACATGATACTAAAAATAATGTCAGTAGTAATATTTAATACTAGTAGCGACACTGCTAAAAGATGTTTCAGTATAGTGCTATTAAGCCCTCTGTGAAAGACCTGTAGCCTGTTCATCTGCCTTACCCAGGAGACCTACTCCCTCTTCAGGGTAGTTTTTCTTTTTTATGCTTGGGTATGTTTTTGTGCAATTCCCTCAATTACTTATTTATGCTCCCTCTTATTTTAATCAAAGCTTTATTACTCCAAAATTCTAAAGTGTTCTTTCAAATAAACTTCTTATATGTGAATCATGAGACTTACATAGGATGCTAAATCTATGTTGTGGAAAACAACTTGAATCATCTCTCCAAACAATCTTTGGGAAAGCTAAAAAAAAGTGAGTGAGCTATGCCAGAACTATTTGGCTTTCTAGACTTTTAAGTCTTAAGCAGTTTTACCCTAAACATGTCAAAGTAAATGTTCAGGATTTATAACATAATTAACATATTGACTTACAGATTCGGGTATTAAAGTTCTAAACCATGCCTTTCTTTTTCTGAGTGGAACTTATTTTTGAACAAGACTTAGAAAAAGTATAACAAGCATTAGTGTCTGATTGTTCAGTTTCTGTTGAACCCAAAATTGGCACAAAAACTGTTTAAATATTCATAATAAATGCCTACCTTTCTAACTAAATTACCATCAAAATTATGAATAAAAACAATATATTTAAATCAAAACAAGACTTCTGTTAGCAACAACACATTTCCAATATAACATACATTGATTTCTAGCCAAGTTTTAGATGTGATGAAAAATTAGAACATTGTTATAATTAGTTCAGGGAGAACTCAGAAGTAAACTTACTTAATTTATTTGCATAAATTGCCATTCTGTTATCTTTAAAACCAAATGCAAATTGGCTCTGTCTGATATGATGATGGTTATTTGGCTCGAAAGTGCTTCAATTTGCAGAGCAATCTGGTGTCGGCTCTGCAGTGAGGCGATCCCAGGTAACATACAAATCCTGAATTATTCCAGAAATTAGTATGTTTAAAGCATCAATTTAAGTGCTAATTGCAGTAGTAATGAGAAAAAGCAGTACGACTGTGAGATTTGCATCTTCTACCCCATCAGTATGCCTGGAACGGCTGCTGACTGGCAGAGGATTTGGCTGCTAATTAAATAATTGTATGCATGGCAGTGCTCTTGCCTGATTCAATAGATGAAGATTAATCCTCAGATAAATATGTTTGGCTGGTATTGAAATGTCTTAGCAGTTTCTTTAAAAATAGCTTGTGTTTTATATACATAAATATATAAATACACTCAATAAATATATGTATACACATTGTGGATTGAAAAACAATATTAACTGCTGCAAAGATTTCACATATTAAAGGCTATATATGACTTTTGGGGGCTTTGTAAAGTAAAATTCCAATGACATGCTGAAAAGAGAAAACATTAAATTGGTAACTAATTTAATGATACAAGTGAAGAAACATGAAGTCTTGCTTCAGGTGATGAATGTTACTTGTGTTGTCTCACAAAATTAAATGCTTTGCAGAAATTGTGTGTTTTAATTGTCTCCTTGGCCACTCTTCCATGCTGGCCAGTCTTAGAAGAACATCAGGTGATACAGCTTCTATATTCAGTGATTCATGGTGCTAGCAGGGGAGAGACCATCATTTGTTTGAAGTACGTTCTGTGGTTTGACTATTTCAGAATCTAGTTCCAGACATAATTGCAGGTTGACACAAGTTGACAGGATTGGAGTTGAACTGAAAAAATCTGCATAGGATTTGTACTTTTTTAATTCCTAAGGGTGTTTGGTTCATCAGGAATACTTCATTTCAATTAGGTACACTCAGCAGCGTTAAAGGCATCACAACAGAAAGTCAAGGTGTAAGAAAACCTATAGCAGATACTAAAGGAATAAAAGCAACACCAAAATTAAAGCACCCATATATTTTTTAAAACTAACTTAGAAGGTGTCAGCTGTTAAAGCAGCTAGTGTATGTGGACATTTTCTTGACTAATTGTGATATTACTACCTAATTATAAATGTTAGAAAAGGATGACTACTACCTGAGGACTTCAAACTTCTTTTGTTAATCCTTTCCATGGGCCTAAAAGTTCATTCATTCATTCATTTCATATTGGTGAGCATTTAGTATTTTAATACTGATTTCTCACAAATATCTTTCAGTTTAAAGAGCAACAATAAAATGGATAAAATATTTTCCACTCTTTCAATGTGTGTCATTTTAATTGGCATTCTCAACATAATGATGCTAGAAACACAAGTTTCTGTCCAGAAAGAACTCTAACCTTACAGGATTCCCTATAACATATAGACATATAAAAATGCTTTCCTTTCAGAGTAACAAATTTTGCAACATTGACAAAATCTTACATAGTAAGCAGTCAGCAGATGATACTGACACCAAGAATTACATCACTAATTTTTTCAGGTTGCCTTTATAGCCCCCAAGTAATGTTCTCTGCCTTCTGGAACAAACCAGTTCATCAACAAACTCTAAAACTCATTATTTTTTAAGATAGGTAATGGCTATTCAGTATTGAGAGTGATTTCCAGTAAAGCATCACAAGTTTAGATCTGAAAATGTTTCCGTAGTTGTTTCTAAAGCAACTTTTGAAGCTTTAAAAAGATTTAAAGTATGTTATTATATGCACATACACATGAGTGTAAGAAAAACTTGGGAAACCTAAACAAGATCAGTAGATGTATCAATGTTAATATTCTGGTTGTAATACTATACTTTTGTTTTGAAAATGCTACAAATGAGGGGAAGCTGGGTAAATGGTTCATAGCATTTCTCATTATTTTTTGCAACTGCATTGAATGCATTGAATTAGTTGATTACTACATTTCATATTAACTATTCTTTTTTCATTTTCCCTTTTTTTTTTTAATTTAGGCATGGACTTTCTTGTCTCGCTTGCCAGTGATAGATGTTGGCATAAGTGTTAAAGGCTCATGGGATGACTTAGTTGAAGGACATAATGAACTCTCCATTTCAAATCTGACTGCAGACAAACGAGATGACAACAAATGGATCAAATTGCATGCTGATCAGGAGTATGTGCTTCAAGTCAGCTTGCGGAGAGTCCACTTTGGGTTCTACAAGGTATGGTGTTTGGTTTCCATTCTCAAATATTTCACACCAAATACCAGCATGCGCCACCACACATTTCTTTTATATTACGAATGTGTCCGTGTCATTCATGAATCCTGCTTTCTCAACTAGCCTTAAGCAGCAAGAGTCAGTCTTTTGAAATTAGTTCTCCTCATGAGCTGTTTCCAGCGCCCCAGAATATCCATCCTACACACTAATACTATCCAGAATATAACCTACTGACTCAGTCCAGCAGACCTTCCTGGAGAGCCAGATTTTGGGTCCCTCCCCTCCAAGATTAAGTCAGAACCTCAGGGCAAAGTGTCTCAAAATCTATAATTTTAATCAGCACCCCCAATGATTTTTAAGGATATTAAAGTTGGAGAGTTGGTGGATGTTTTACCACTTAGCTCCCTAAATTTGAATAAAACACTAAGACTTTTGAGCCTCAGTTGCCACCCAAACCAGCTTCCTTCATCAAAGTACACATGAGAGAGCTTTGTCAATATTCAGACAGGCCCAAAATGTACAATATTTTTATTTTAAATTAGTATGACCTGTTCTGTTGCCTCTGACACCAAAATTAATTGTTTAGTCCTCTAAGACTATTAGTACACAGCATGTGGGCAGATTGGTTTTCAGTACCACAGTAATTTAAATAAGAAAATTGTCTTCTTTTTAGCCCACTGGATTCAGGGCTTTCCCAGTAAGCCCTTAAAGGTGAGGTTTTAGTTGGCTGACACCCTCTGTTTTCACATACAAAGTGGTCAACAACTTTCTGTTATGATATCCTTTCATTGCTGTCCTTTCCAGTCCCCCTTTACTGGATTTCTAATTGTAAAAATCAGTCAGTGTAAGTATGAACTGATTGGCCTCAGGCAGCATTTCGGGAGACTTAATGTGAGCATTTCTAAATGAGTTTGTATTCTAACCAAAAAAAAATTGTGATAATCATAAAAAATAGTAATGGTCATAAAAATAAAATCATGGGGAAAACTGAGTTTGTCAACCTTAATGTTATAAGAATTTAGATTTAATCATTCTAGGAAAGCTCTCAATTTTGTTTCTAAATTATGTGAAAATGTACCATTACTCTGTGATTCTTTTTTGAAAATACCATAAGTATCTTTCTCTAAAATACTGAGTAATGTCTGATTCAGAGCACATCATGATTACTCATTTTATGCCATAAACTCATTGTGATAAGGAATCACTGGAATAATATTGCGTTGGTAAGAGTCAATCTAAAATAGGCTTCAAGCACTATCATTATACTTATATCTAATCTTGGATTGTGGTAATTAATATGTTTTATATGTTGCTTGATTTACAATTTCCCATTTTTCAGAGAAAGGACTTTTTAATATTAACACATTAGAATATGTGCTCTTCTTTCTGTACATTTTACTCTTGGATGGCATAATGTGCATTATCTTGAGGTATAGCATCTTTGACTGACTTTGTTTCCATAAGCATCAGTTCCTTATGAATGTGGCTTTGGAAGATTTGGTTAGTGTGGTTGTATCTCAGTTTGTTCATCTGCAAGTAACTATCAATAAATGTAGGAATGGCAGGAGAATTTACTAAATTGATTTCAAGATTCAGAGCTTCGTTTCTAACTGAGGCAAAATTCTGGTAGTTGGTAGCCACAAACTCATGTCTACAGAGTGCTCTGAAAATCTTAAAGAAAGGTAGGTGAAAGCCTATCAAAGACATCAAACTGGAAAGAAAGAAAATTTAAAACATCAGATAGATATACTGAACCATGTAGATCTGTGGCCTTCAAAAAACATAACATAGCCTTTTAACCACAACCAAGTTGTATAGAAACTTTAGGCATTATTAATGTTTTATCCTTTTTTCTGGTTTACAGGGGAAGCAAGAGTCCTGTGCAGTGACCCCTCGATTTCCCAAATCAAAAGATGAAGGATGGTTTTTAATATTAGGAGAAGTGGATAAGAGAGAACTTATTGCTTTAAAAAGAGTAGGATATATACGAAATCATCATGTAGTTTCCCTTTCATTTTATACCCCTGAAATGCCTGGAAGGTAAGCAGACTCTTACTACTGAAGTTCCAAAAGAATTGAATGTCATTGAGTAGAAAGACAGGTTTACGTTTTTGTTCTACTGCTCATTTCAGGTACATCTTTACACTGTATCTCATGAGTGACTGCTACCTTGGCCTGGACCAGCAGTATGACATTTATCTCCACGTCACACAAGCCAACGCTTCTACACAGGTCAACCCCAAGGCCACTGATGCCTTCGCTGAGTGAAGCAACCTGACCCAAATAATCGTATAAAAGAAGTACTTAAGAAGTCTGGCTCTTTAGTCCTGCAGACAGAGTCGAATTACCTGATGTTTGCCTTGATGGAATCAACTTCTAACCTCAAAGACATCCAGTAGATTGACAGTTACTGCAGTATTGACTCCAGCAACACAAAGTTAGATGCAGTGGCCTTTTAACAAATGCTGCCTTTTGTAATGTTGTCTTCATGGGTTTCTTGATATGTAAAATGGACAAGCATGTGGGACAATCTTTTAATTTGTGTATATTTGGGATGATATTTAGGAGTTATCAATCAAATTTCACATCTCACAATGTACTGTTTATATGAATATTATCATTTTTTAAGGAAAAATACATTGAGATGTTACAGTGTTGGGATTTTAATTCTGCAGTATAAAATACATGAAATAAATTTGCAAGGTGATATACTGTGTATCTTGATAGCAAAATTTATACTTTGATCACATGTAGAAGTAGTTTCAGCAATTTCTTATAGTCATAAATGTTAATAATATATGGTATAAAATTATATTTTGGAGCCCAATGATGATAAAAAAAACAGAATATATTGATCTTAGAAAATATAGATACTGAACTGGTGGAAATAAAATATGTAAAGTGCAACTTCAAAACAAGCTGACTTAATTTTTCTTCTGGCTTCCTTTCCATCATATCCCTTCTTACTCTTCTTTCCCTTCTACGTCAAGACTACTTCCATTGTCTTTCTGATATATTTATTTATACAGGGAGACAAATATAGTCTAATTTGCATTATAACATATGAAGGAACAATTCTTTGTTGTTGTGTTCAGGTGGTGGGTAGGTTTTTCCCTATGAAAAAGGGAATTTCTCAATATGTAAACAAGTTCATCTTTTTAAAAAAAAACTTTTTCAAACTTAGTACTTGGGTCCCTGCCACCAATATGGAAGACCCAGATGATATTCCTGGCTGCTGACTTTGGCCAACCCCAATCCTGAATATTGTGGGAATCTGGCAAGTGAACCAGTAGGTGAAGAGCTCTCTCTTGCTCTCTCTGGCTCTCGCTCTCTTCCCCTACTCTGAGTGAGAGGGAGGAGCTGGTGGGGGGAATTATCCACTATCACTCTGACTTTCAAATACATCTTTTTTTAAAAGAAAGAATGAATTTGAAATTTTTGTTTTTCTTATTTGAAAGTGAGAGTTACAGAGAGAGAGAGAGATCTTCCATCTGCTGGTTCACTTGCCAAATGACCACATCAAAGGCTGGCTAGGCCAAGCCAAAGCCAGGAGCTTCTTCCAGATCTCCCACGTGAGTGCAGTGGCCCAAGAACTTGGCCCATTTTCTGCTGCTTTCCCAAGCCATTAGCAGGGAGCTGGTTTGGAAGTGAGGTAGCTAGGACTTGAATCGGTACCCTTATGGGATGCCGGCATTGCAAGTGGTGGGTTACCCACTACACCACAACAACAGCCCTGCAAGTGAGATTATTTAGAGACATCAATTATCAACCTGTACAGAAATCTGAGGCAGAACAATTACACCAGTTCTATGTCTGTCACCATCACCCATTTCTTGTCACAGAGTAGTCAGTTCTGTAGGAGGTATGGGAACAGCTTCATTGGATAATGTATATGGCACAGTAAATCAAAACAATAAGAAAAATATTTCTGTCATATCTATCAGAAAAAATACTGTGAAAAACTGAATAATTTTAGGATTATGACTTCTTAGTTCTGAATATGCCACAGGGGACACTAGTTAGGCAAGGTGCGCTTGGATGGAAAAATTAATGTTATCCCAATGAGTAACCAACGATATTTGTCTCAACTTTGCATTCATTCCTCCCTCCACCAAAATTTTAGTATTAAGTATGCCTTGTAACAGGATACGTGCCACCATAATCATATTAGTACTATTTTCAATCTGTAAATCATTAACATTCCATCATGTTTAGTAGCATTTAAAAATGACTCCAAATCTTGATTACTGATAAAAGTTATTTGTCTTAAAATTTCTTTTTTTTTTTTTTTTAACAGGCAGAGTTAGTGAGAGAGACAGAAAGAAAGGTCTTCCTTTTTCTGTTGGTTCACCCTCCAGATGACCACTAAGGCCGGCGCGTTGCGGCCACTGTGCTGCGCCGCGCCAATCCAAAGCCAGGAGCCAGGTGCTTCCTCCTGGTCTCCCTTGTGGGTGCAGGGCCCAAGGATTTGGGCCATCCTCCACTGCCCTCCCGGGCCACAGCAGAGAGCTGGACTGGAAGAGAAGCAACCAGGACAGAATCCAGCACCCCAACTGGGACTAGTACCCAGGGTGGTGGCGCCACAGGTGGAGGATTAGTCTAGTGAGCCATAGCGCCAGCCTGTCTTAAAATTTCTGAAGGGGGTTTTGTATAGATAAGAAATATTTCAGTGGGTACATTATAAATGTTTTCTTAAGTGGAGCATACACAGCCCACTTCATCTCAGACCATGCATCTCTAGACTATTACATTATACCACTCTGATTTCATGGCTTGTTATTTTATAGTCCTCTGGGTTTTATCAACTCAAAATTATATGAAGTACCTGTCAAACATTTGTCCTAAGCACTGTATTCAATATTCTGATAACCACAAGACTCAGAGACATTTCCTGTCCTCTAACAAGGTAACCTGGTGATAAAAAGGAGGTGTACCTAATTCTAATAATACAATTATGATAGTGATAGGGAGTAAATACTCTGGGAGTTCAGAGGTAAAATATTCCCTTTAAAAATCAGAAATGCAGCCAGCACTGCGGCTCACTAGGCTAATCCTCCGCCTTGCGGCGCCGGCACACCAGGTTCTAGTCCTGGTCGGGGCGCCGGATTCTGTCCCGGTTGCCCCTCTTCCAGGCCAGCTCTCTGCTGTGGCCAGGGAGTGCAGTGGTGGATGGCCCAAGTGCTTGGGCCCTGCACCCCATGGGGGACCAGGAGAAGTACCTGGCTCCTGGCTTCGGATCAACATGGTACGCCAGCCACAGCGGTCATTGAGAGGTGAACCAATGGCAAAGGAAGACCTTTCTCTCTCTCTCTCTCTCTCTCACTGTCCACTCTGCCTGTCCAAAAAAAAAAAAAAAAAAATCAGAAATGCTGGGCTACAGATGGTACAGCAGATTAAGCTATCCTCATATAGTACCAGTTCAAGTCCTGACTGCTACACTTGTGATCAAGCTCCCTACTAATGTGCCTGGTAAAGCATTGGAAGATGGCTCAACTAATTGGGTCCCTGCCACCCTGTATGGAGTTCCAGGCTCCTGGCCTTTACCATTACATCCATTTGGGGAGTAAACCAGTAATGGAAGATATCTCTCTCTCTCTCTAACTCTGCCTTTAAAATAAATAAATATTTTTTAAAAATCAGGAAGCCCATACATTGTGTGACACAAGTTAAACTACCACTTGCAATGCTGGCCTCCCATCAAAGAGTGCCATTTCAAGTACTAGCAGCTCTGCTTCTGATCTGACTTCCTGTTAACGCACCTAGAGAGGCAGTGGAAGATTACCCAAGTCCTTGGATTCTTGCCATCCACATGGGAGACCCTGATAGAGCTCCTGGTTCAGCCTGGCCCAGCCCTGGATGTTGTGGCCATTTGGGGAGTCAGCCAGCAGATGGAAGATCTCTCTGTCTCTCCCTCTCTCTGTGTCTCTGTCTCTCTCTGTGTCACCCTGCCTTTCAAAAATAAATGTCTTTTTAAAAATCATAAAGGCTAATCTTCCACCTAGCGGCGCCGGCACACTGGGTTCTAGTCCCGGTCGGGGCGCCGGATTCTGTCCTGGTTGCCTCTCTTCCAGGCCAGCTCTCTGCCGTGGCCAGGGAGTGCAGTGGAGGATGGCCCAAGTACTTGAGCCCTGCACCCCATGGGAGACCAGGAGAAGCACCTGGCTCCTGCCATCAGATCAGCGCGGTGCGCAGGCCGCAGCGGCCATTGGAGGGTGAACCAACGGCAAAGGAAGACCTTTCTCTCTGTCTCTCTTTCTCACTGTCCACTCTGCCTGTCAAAAAATAAATAAATAAATAAATAAAATAGAAATCATAAAGGGACATTTGGCTAAGGGTTTTTTATTTTTTTCTTTATTTTAACAGGCACAGTTTTTAAGATAGTTAGAATGATGAAAGGCAACATTCCAGATAGAACAGAATTAGCAAGGCTCTAGGAGATGTCCATTTGGGGTGCGCTTTCAGAGATATGAAAGGGATCAACAGGTGAGAAGAATGGAAAAGTCTCTGAAGAGAACTTGAATTACAGAATAAGGAGTGGGGCAAGCATTTGGAACAATGCTTAAGTCACCATTTAGGTACCACATACCCCATATCAGAGCAGCTGGTTCAAGTTCTAGCTCCCCTGGTTCCAATCCAACTTTCTGCTGACAGAGATTACGGGAGACAGAAGATTATGCCTCAAGTACTTGGGTCCCAGCCACCCACCGAGGAGACATATTGAGTTCCAGGCTCCTGCCTTCATTCTGGCCAGCCCTAGCTGTTGAGGGCATTTGGAGAATGAACAAATGGATGGAAAATCTCTTTCTCTCTCTCTGTCTCTGCCTTTCAAATAAAATACATTACAAAAGTTTTTTTAATTAAGAACCATGAATCCTTATGTAGGCAGTGAAATTTCTTCACACGTCACAAGAGGTCAAGGTTTGGCTATATGGGAGTTTTATTTAGGCATGGAAAGGATATGACCAAGAAAGGAAGTGTTCCAAAAAAGGTTCAGGGGAAAAAACAACCCCAGCAAGAAGTCAAGAGGAACCAGAGGTTATGACTAGGAAAGCTAACAGCTGAGTAGAGTGGTGGATAATGAGCACTAAACCTTGAGGCAGAGAAAGAACAAAGTCAAGGGTCCTGATGTTGGGGATACTGGGTCCTTGATGATCATTAACAGAGATTTCAGTAACAAAGGAAAGGAGAAAGTAGATTGTCAGGAGGTAGGGACTTGAGTGGACAATAAATGAAGAAGTAATTCTACAGGCTTCACCCAGCAAAGAGCCAATGCTAGTGGATTCCTGTCCCCTTACACATAGGCATCCTCTTTCTTGTTACATTTAGGGCCAACTGGAATTCAACTGTCAGAAACAAAACAACTTCAACACCCCTAAAACTGCAATACAAAGCCATGGGGAACTTAGCTGTGGGGATCCTTCAAACCCAATAATAAAACTGGCAGCATTTAAAGAGAAACATAGCTATTTCATCAGCATGAATGAGTAGCCCTTGTCTTCCTGCGCTTTGATATCTCACCGGGGGCCAGCATTGTGGCACAGTGAGTTAAGCTGCCACCTGCAACACCAACACTGGCATCCTATATGGGCACCTGTTTGAATCCCAGTTGCTGCACTTCCAATGCAGCTCCCTGCTAAAGTGCCTAAGAAAGCAGCAGAAGATGGCCCAAATACTTGGGGCCCTGGATCTATGTGGAGACCCACATGAAGCTCTTGGCTTGGACCTGACCCAGTCTGAGCCACTGGGGCCATTTACAGAGGGAGCCAGTGGATAGAAAATTTCCTCTCTCTCTCTCTCTCTCTTTCTCTTCTCTTCTTTCTCTCTCTCTCTCTCTCTCTCTCTCTCTGTGTGTGTGTGTATGTATGTGTGTATCTCCCTAATCTGTAACTCTGCCTTTCAAATAAATTTTTTAAATTCCACTGGTAACTGTTGGGAAGAAGACAGAGTGACATGGAATATATAGTCACCAATAGTCATTTGGGAGATGTTTGGCTCGGTGGTTAATACATCATTTGGGACTCTCAAGTCCCATGGCAAAGTGCCTAGGTTTGAGTCCCAACTCCACTCCTGACTTATTGTTATCACCAAATGGAAGGTAGAGACCCAAATACTTGACCCATCACCACTGCCTTTCAGGATTTGTATTATCAGGAAGTTGGAGTGAGGAACCAGAGCTGAGTATCAAATCTAGGTACTCTGATGTGAGACATGGGCGTGTTAATCATGGCATCAAACACCAAACACCTGTCCCTATTCCCAAAATGTAATCATCAGTCCTTCGACTTGTTGTCATGGAGCATTCTGTACTGTTTCTGAAAAATAAGGTTGTTTGAATCTAAGATCTTAGAATGAAGTAGAATTTTATCTTGCTTGAGTCTTTTTCTCAACACTTTGTGTGCTAATGTGACAAAGATGTTGGAGCACAGTTCACATGTTATTCAGGCAGACCTAAAGTCAAGCTTTTGGCCCAAGCAATCAAATCTAAATGGCTGAAATTTTTATTATTACTCCAATTTCTCTGATATTTAGAGAACATTTAAAATGCATTTGATTTAAGTTTTGTAAGTGATATTGTACCTCTAAATAGATGTTAGCCATTCCCTGGAGACTTGCTGGAGGACATGATGAAATGTAGACCAATCCATGGTTAGCTGAGCAGAATCCACAGCACCTCCTTCTCATTAAAAGTTCTGTGAATCCCACAACCCTTTGTTTCCTTACTTGTTATGTTTATTAGTCGTGTGTCCTTATATTATCTGGACTTGTTTAACCACCTACACGCAGCTCCTGGTCATTGAAAGCAAGTCTAGCCACCTCTAAGGATTGTACCCTTTGGTTCCAAGCAATTTTTATTTATTTGAAGATTGCAGGATGGTCTAAGATGAGTTTTATTCCTGAGCTTTCAACTCAAATACAGTTGGCTCTTGGCCCCTGAATAGTGCACTTTGCAGAACTGGAGGATTGCCCTAGCCAGTTCTGGAACACCCTGTAGCTGATGACCTGTTTTTCCAAGTAGTTTCAAAGAGGCCAAATATATTCCTTTGAGAGACGAATGAAGCTTCTGAAATAACCAAATAATTCATGAGAATAAGATGGCTGTCAACACGCAGAAAGACTGAATTTCTAAATGTAAAACTTATTTTCTAATGACTTGTAAGTCAGTATTAAAGACAATCAGAAAAGAGAGGTTCCAAAAATAACATGGCAATGCATCAGTATTGGTGGAAGTTCTCCAAATGTGGTGTGACAGCCCAAATAAAAGAGCACAGATTCTTTTGATATATATATAAGTTCTAGATTTTGGACTGCTTTTTAGTAAAATTATGTAAATGCATGGGTCATTTTTTTAAAAGTCTAATCATAGTGGACAAGCGAAACATTAAGTGAATTTAAGTTACAAAAGAGAGAGGTTGAATCAGAATGAGAGGAAGAAAATGAAACTTCACTGTTATAAAATACTGAACAGAAAGGCTACCAGCAGAGATCTTCATTAATCAGATATTGTCTGCCTTGACATACCTGTCTCCACCAAACTCCAGGACTCAGTGGAAACGAGTCCTGGCATACATCTTAAAATACCTGAAATTGATACTGCATGAAGCTATCTACTAGACATTCTACAAAGAATGCCAATAACTTAAAGAGTGCTTTCAAACAAGCTCTGCTAGTTACAATACCAACATGGCCTAATTCTGGGCAGTTTCTCAGGAATGTAAATCTTTGCCTGTGTTATTACTGGAAATTATGATCTATTGCCTGTTAGAATGCTATTTCACTAGGGATCTAGAAGAAATAGGTAAAGATTAGAAAGAAATTCTTAGTCTGTGTATCAAGATACACAGTTTTTGTGTTTCTTGTTTCTTTTCTAATGAGTTTCTTTAATGCTACCTCAATCCTGTGTTGTATTTGGTGGCCCAATCACATATTGGAAGATTTAGAACAATGTATTTGATCAATTCCCTCTGTTACCATTTCCTCTTCTTTAAGAGTAGAAGTCATCCTTGTTCAGCTTCTTCTCCCAAAAGTCTGCTGTTTTGTGATAGAAAGAACAGTGAACTCCGTTGCTATACCATAGTGCCTAACACAGGGCAAATGTTTAATCACTTTGTTATAATGAATCATTTCTGTAAAAAAATGCTTAGGAAAGGATAAAATGCTGCAAAAAGTCAAATGCAAATGATTGTCTAAGGTGACAAATTGTAAAGTCATCATCTTCTGGACTAGTTCTACTCATATATACCAATTGGAATATTGGTAAGTAAAGAAATATTGGCAGTAAAGGAATAATTCACTTCACCATCCATATATACCCTCACATACACACACACACACAAAAAAATTTGTGCCCATTGAGGGATTCATTTGTGTTGTGTTCCTTTGTGCTACAGGATTTGCATCTCTCAAAATGCAAATGCACTTACACTTTGCACTGCGGTTCAGCACACACGCAGGAATGTGCATTACTTCATTGGAACTTTTCTGAGTGCGCCTCCTAGGAACATATTTTAACAGAATAGTGAAGGACACCCAGAAGGCCCACACTGTGCATGGGAGGTTTGAGCGCCTTATTTCTGCCCTTCTAGATTCTGAAGACAAACTTCAACATTTCACAGTTTTATCAAGGGCTGTTTTTTTTTTTTTTTATTTTATTTTATTTTATTTTTGACAGGCAGAGTGGACAGTGAGAGAGAGAGACAGAGAGAGAAAGGTCTTCCTTTGCCGTTGGTTCACCCTCCAATGGCCGCCGCTGCAGCCGGCGCACCGCGCTGATCCGATGGCAGGAGCCAGGAGCCAGGTGCTTTTCCTGGTCTCCCATGGGGTGCAGGGCCCAAGCACCTGGGCCATCCTCCACTGCACTCCCTGGCCATAGCAGAGAGCTGGCCTGGAAGAGGGGCAACCGGGACAGAATCCGGTGCCCCGACCGGGACTAGAACCCGGTGTGCTGGCGCCGCAAGGTGGAGGATTAGCCTATTGAGCCACGGCGCCGGCTTGTTTTTTTTTTTTTAATTCCTTCCTTCTTTCCTTCCCTTCTCTTCCTTTCATTCTCTCTTTTTCTTGCTTTGAAAGATCAACAGAGAGTGAGAGAGAGAGAGAGAGAGAGAGAGAGAGAGAGAGACTCTTCCATCCACTCATTCACTTTCCAAATGCCCACAACAGCCAGAGTTCGGACAGACCAAAGCCAGAAATCAGAAACTCCATCAAGGTCTCCCACCTGTATGGCAGGGACTCAAGCACTTAGGCCATCATCTGATGCCTTCCCGGGTGCATCAACAAGAAACTGGCTAGGAATCCCAGAGCAGCCAGGACTCAAACTAGCACTATAGGACAGACATCCAAATCTCAGACAGCAGCTTAAGTCCCTGTGCCACAATGCTGAGCCCACAGGGACATTCCTGATGTCCAAATCAGCAAGAGCAAGGTACACTATGGAAGCAGAAAAGAAGAGAGCAAGAGTGTGGGGCACCTCACATTTTCACCAAGTGTTTAAAGCAAGTTCTTTAATGTCCTTAAAAACATTTATATACTTTCCTTAAAATGTCAAGCAATACCCACTCTTCTCAGTCTTCCTAGGAGTCATGTTGCTCCCATGCTTGTACAAGCATGGAAATCAATTTAACTATATTCAGTAGAAGCCTAAACCCTTTCCTTTTAGAAGGAAATATTTGATTTTTGTTTCAAAAGCAACTATTTTCACACTATTTTATCCATCTTCTGAAACCTAATTCTAACCAAAGCTAAGGAGGAACAAGTTATGCCACTGGCTTCTAATATAGTGTTGTTGTTAGCAGAAGCAATGAGAATAATATAGACATCTTAGAAAAACCTCAGTCTTATTTTCTGATCCTTCAGAAAAATGCATTCCTCTAAAACACATTACCCTACAAGTGGCCTTTGGAGAAACTGAAACATTGAAGAAATCCTTGCGTTGCAGCAAAGAACATTCTCTGTGGACAATTCTAATCAATTATAGAAACATAACTATACCAAGATCATGTAATACAACACAGTGATGATCCTGGCTTCTGTCCATCTTATAAAATGCTACAACTCATAAAAATGAGACCTGCTGCTGTTTGTAGCAATCCAACTCAGAAAGGTTTATTCTCAATTGATTGTCATTTTTCATGTTGAAAATGATTACACGTCTGCATCTTCTCTCAGTTTTGTCATTTTGCTATCTTTGCCCACTGTGCTGTATTTTTGGATGCTTCATCCCATCCCCAAACAATATATTTGAAACACTCATGAGAATACATTGCATAAATATTGAATGTGTTAAAGACAGAGTCTGAGGTAATTCAGAATGAATTTAAGTAAATTGATTGGAATCAGCTTTTATTTAGGAAATCTTCTAGGGACAATCCTGACATATTTAAAATAACTAACTGTTCACAGAGATGTAATCTGAATGTGCATTCCAACAAATCCATGAATCGGCAATCAGAACAGAAATACATGCCTTTAAGGTGCTGAAAACAGCTACAAGGGTGATCAGAAAGATGTTAGCAATGATAGTAATAAAAAACCTGGAAAATTTTTCACCTCAAAAATGTTTGCATAAAAATCAGATTAAATGCAATGTAACAATGATGTGATGTTAAAATTGAAAAAGGGAAATGTAAAATGCACCCAAGCTATAATTATGAATGTGTTTTATGGATTCATTGCACAGGAAGATGAGATCTATTCCACCCTGGCCAACAGAAGAAGAGAAGTGGCAACTGTAATTAATAGTCAAATGTCTTGCATTATATGTGGAATGAATTCTTTTATGTGACACCAAAGGCACAGGCAATAAAATAAAAAAATAGACAATTAGATTTCATGAAAATTGAAAACCTTTGTGCATAAAAAGATACTATTAACAGAGAAAGTAAGATATTTACAAATCATGTATCTTATGAGAATATTATCCAGAATACATAGAGAACTCCTAAAACTCAACAACAAACAACCCAATTCAAGAATGGGCAAAGGACTTGAACAGACATTTCTCCAAAAACATATACAAATGTCCAATACACATATAAAAACATGCTTAGCCTCCTAATAGCATCACTAATAATTTTAAAAATGCAAATCAAGCCCACAGTAAGATACCATTTCACTCCCATTGGCATAGCCGTTATGGAAGAAAGAAGGAAGGAAGGAAGGAAGGGAGGGAGGGAGAGAGGGAGGGAGGGAAGGAGGGAAAGGGAAAGGGGAGAGGGAAAGGGAAAGGGGAGAGGGAAAGGGACAAGTGTTAACAGGGTTGGAACCTTATGCACTATTTGTAGGTATGCACTATCATAGGCATGTAAAATAGTATAGCCACTGTAGAAAACAGTATAGCAGTTTTAGCCGGCGCCGTGGCTCAAT